AAACTGTGGAAAGAGCCAAGATGCCCATCGACAGATGAATGGATAAAGAAGAGGTGGTATATATACACAATGGAATATTATGCAGCCATCAAAAGGAAGGAGATCTTGCCATTTGCAACGACGTGGATGGAACTGGAGGGTGTTATGCTGAGTGAAATAAGTCAATCAGAGAAAGACATGTATCACATGACCTCACTGATATGAGGAATTCTTAATCTCAGGAAACAAACTGAGTGTTACTGGAGTGGTTGGGGGTGGGAGGGATGGGGTGGCTGGGTGATAGACATTGGGGAGGGTATGTGCTACGGTGAGCACTGTGATTTGTGCAAGACTGTTGAATCACAGATCTGTACTTCTGAAACAAATAACACAACATATTTTAAGAAAAAAGAAAAAGAAGAAGATAACAGGAGAGGAAGAAAAGGGGAGTATGTCAGAGGGGGAGACGACCCATGAGAGATGATGGACTCTGAAAAACAAACTGAGGGTTCTAGAGGGGAGGGCGGTAGGGGGATGGGTTAGCCTGGTGATGGGTATTGAGGAGGGCACGTTCTGCATGGAGCACTGGGTGTTATGAACAAACAATGAATCATGGAACACTGCATCAAAAACTAATGATGTAATATATGGTGATTAACATAACAATAAAAAAATTTAAAAAAAAAACCACTCACTGGGGCCAGCTCTCCTCCTCCGCTCTGAGAGACCCCATGGTTGCCTCAAAACTTTAACTTTAAGCCTGATTTGGACAAAATCACCCAGTGATATGGTCTGAAGTATTTTATGTTTCAATCTGATGTTGAGCTGGAAACACCAACCTTCTCAAACCGGGCAGAAAAGTCAGGGAAAGGGTGAAGAAGAGAAAGGACAGTCTTCTCCCGCTCGAATCTTCCCAGGGACGGGCTGCTCACTGCGTTCAAAACTGCCTGTTCCAGTGGTGGAGAGCCTGACCTTTGCAAAGGTCTTCTGCGCACCGGGCTGAAGTCTTACCTGTTCTAGACCTTGGTGTCTTCAGCCAGTCTATTCCGTATTTCACCCGACTGTCCCTCAACTCTCTGAGGACAGTCTTGAGGTCCTCAACCTGCTCTCTTCCTGGCTAACCACAACTGGTTCCAGTGTCCCTCCCTTAGCCCTGGTGCTTTCCCAGCCCTCGGCTCACCCCATGACTTACCTTGGAACAGGCTCTCCTTTGGAAGGAGAGGGGCAAGAAAAAAGAGATGGTGTCACTTTCTCTTTATCAGCTTATGTCACTTCATGTCAGCTGGGGTTTAAGCTACCAGTTAGCATTATGCAGGGAACAAGTCTCTTCCGGGCCAAGCACGAGCCCTGCTTCCTTATGGGTTTGTGCTTCCTTATGCTTCCAAATGGGTTTTAGGAGTTGGTTCAATTCCATAAACTTAAGGGACACAAAGCACAGACATGAGCACTAAGGGTGTGGGGGGGTGGGGTGCCTATCTGTGCCAGGCAAGCAACAGAGGGAGAGGTGCTTGGGGAGAAAGATACCAACTGCTTGCCTCCTGAGATCACTCCTAATCAGGAGGCACCCTGAGGGACCCTGAGGACTGGAACGGGGTCTTCTGTCCCCCCTAGCAGGGCAAATAAAGGATGGAGATTGACAGGAGAGGGAACTATCTGCAGGGACCAGAGCTCCAACCCGTGAGTCACCCAGGCTGCCCCTGCTCACAGGTACTTTGCCTGGGGAACCACAGCCTGGCGCTCCTCTCCTACCACTGGGGGTCGGAGCATACCGGCGCACTACTTGCCACCACCCCCCAAAGTGCTGGGAGACAAGTCACCTGCCGTGGCCCCCATTCTGCCACTGGACCTTTTCCTCCCTGGTCCTCCATTCCCCCTCCTGCATGATAACGTTAATGGAGGGCTAGGCTAGCTCCCTGTTTCTCAAAATGTGGTTCCCACGTGCTTTGCATACAGTTCACGTGGCTACGTCAAGGAGCGTTACTTTACTTTTCATTACAGACCGATAAAAATTTCACCAACAGCAGGCAGTGGTGGAGAATGGCATTGAGAACAATGGCCTAGAGATCGACGCTTTTCAAAGGTGAATAACGTACATCTCTTTTATAAAGGAAAATACTCTTGCAAGCCCAAGAATAAATCCACAGACACCGCCCCCCAACCCCCACAACACCCCCCCAACAGTGGCTCCATGGGCTGCATTTGCAAGATACCTACTTATTCCACAGAACTGTCTTTTAATTGTGTTTCATTGCAAAAGTTTAGTCCCTATAATTGGAAATACGTATATTTTTAGATGATCATCTAAGTGAAAATGCAAAATTTTTAAGTGTTGGTAGAACTGGCAGATTCCTGAGACTAACTCTAAGCATTCCATTTGAGAAGCAGGTCTGGACGTCCATGAACCAACTGTTCCATTTCTCATGGAAGAAAAGCTTAAATCACAGCCAGTGGATTCGAGGCAAGAAGGGAGAGCTATACTGCGTGGTGTGAGGCACCAGGCAGCACGATCTAGGGCAGCGATGGGTCTGCTTCCTGGGAGAGGGAAGAATCATCCCAAGGAGCCAGGGGATGGGTGGCTGAGACTGCTTCTAGCCCTGGGAATTCTCAGTTGTCTCCACGTGAGAGAAGACCTTTGACCAAAAGGAGACAGAACACACAACTCTTCTTTCTGAAATCATTCCGTGCCCTTCTTTCAAAAGGGATCCCCCATGGAGGTGCAGGTAAGGAGCTCCATGAGGCGTGCCAGTGATTCTGACACCACAGCAGCACCCTGGGGGTGCATGAAGAAATACCAGACTGAGAGGTGGCCTCTTGAGCTGGATCCTGGCACAGCCCAGGCATCAGAAACCACCGGGGCCACCGGGCTCCGTGCTCCTGAGCCTGGCTTGCCCCCAGCTTCGGCCTCCACAGCCTGGGAGACGAAAGGGTCATGGTGGAAGGGGCATGGGGCAAAAGAGCCCAACATTCCCAACTCGGGGAAGCTCGTCATGATGATGATAACTCTGAGGCTTACTGCGTGACCGCCTGTGACACGGAGCGCTACCTCAGGGACAGGCAGGGAAGCAGAAGGCGCAAGCAGATCTGTCTTCAGCCCACAGGTGGAAGGATTAAGGGCTGAACAGGAAAAGGCCCTGAACTATTGGATCAAAGACGAGTAACAATAAAGTCTCAAAGCCTCTCCTCTCTTAGAAACCCCTTCAGTTGATTCTAAGATTTGTGAGTTTTACTATTACATGCCAGGGTGTTGGCCTGTTTTCCTTGATCTTGGGAGGGGTCCTCTCTGCCTCTAGGACACGAGACACAACCCACAGAATGGGAGAAGATATTTGCAAACGACACTACAGACAAGGGGCTGGTATCTAAGATCTATAAAGAACTTCTCAAACTCAACACCCAAAAAACAAATAATCAAGTCAAAAAATGGGCAGAAGATATGAAAAGACACTTCTCTGAAGAAGACATACAAATGGCTAACAAACACATGAAAAAATGTTCATCATCATTAGCCATCAGGGAAATTCAAATCAAAACCACATTGAGATATCACCTTACACCAGTTAGAATGGCAAAAATGGACAGGGAAAGAAACAACAAATGTTGGAGAGGTTGTGGAGAAAGGGGAACCCTCTTACAATGCAAGTTGGTACAGCCACTTTGCAAAACAGTGTGGAGGTACCTCAAAAAATTAAATATAGAGCTACCCTATGACCCAGCACTTGCACTCCTTGGTGTTTACCCCAAAGATACAGATGTAGTGAAAAGAAGGGCCATATGCACCCCAATGTTCATAGCAGCAATGTCCGCAATAGCCAAACTGTGGAAAGAGCTGAGATGCCCTTCAACAGATGAATGGATAAAGAAGATGTGGTCCAGGGGCACCTGGGTGGCTCAGTCGTTAAGCATCTGCCTTCAACTCAGGTCATGATCCCAGGGTCCTGGGATCGAGCCCCGCATCGGGCTCCCTGCTCGGCAGGAAGCCTGCTTCTCCCTCTCCCACTCCCCCTGCTTATGTTCCCTCTCTCGCTGTGTCTCTCTCTCAAATAAATAAATAAAATCTTAAAAAAAAGAAAAAAAAGAAGATGTGGTCCATATATTCCAATGGAATATTACTCAGCCATCAGAAAGGATGAATACCCAACTTTTACATCAACATGGATGGGACTGGAGGAGATTATGCTAAGTGAAATAAGTCAAGCAGAGAAAGTCAATTATCATATGGTTTCACTTATTTGTGGAACATAAGGAATTGCATGGAGGACATTAGGAGAAGGAAGGGAAAAATGAAGGGGGGCAGAAATCGGAGGGAGAGATGAACCATGAGAGACTATGGACTCTGAGAAACAAACAGGGTTTTAGAGGGGAGGGTGTGGGGGATTGGTTAGCCCGGTGATGGGTATTAAGGAGGGCACGTACTGCATGGAGCACTGGGTATTATACGAAAACAATGGATCATGGAACACTACATCAAAAACTAATGATGTATGGTGACTAACATAACAATCAAATTTAAAAAAAAAGAAAAGAAAAGAAACCCCTTCAGTCGGAACCCCTGGAGGCAAAGGCAGATCAACGGCTCCCCCTCCAGAGGCAGGGGACCAGACAAAAGACCTCAGGCCGCCCTCCTTTAAGACCCACAGCCTGCGTGTAGCTGCTGTGGGCCGTTTTCTTCACGGGCACCACAGGCAGTGTCCGCAGCCCACAAGCTTTTCCAGGTTATAAAAACCCTTGAAACTTGAAAAAAAAAAAAAATGGTGAACTTCCAAATACAGAAAGAAACTTGCAAACCTGAAAGCAACACACACTTCTTTAAAATCTGCAAACTATCACATTATGTTAGCTGGTCCCCTGCAGCTAAAGCCATATATAACTTACAGCTCCCGTGGGGTGTGGGAGCACTGGGATATGCTCGACATGGTGGGGGTGCGGCCTACACAGGTGTTCCTATTTACTGGGCCCCACCCCCCACCCCAGGCTAGCCCACCTGGCGCCCTCTTCCCTCCCCGGCCCCTCCTCTCCCTCACGCCCCTCTCCTCCTGATCTCCACTTTCTCCTGCTTTGCCCTGGCTGCTGCTGTCCACCAAGCCTGAAACAGATGCCTCAGGAATGTCCCACCAGCCTGGGCAAGGAGCTCACCTCCTACCCTCCTGCCCCCTTGAGGAATCTCAGCAGCTGCCCTGATGGGGGCCAGCAGAACCGTGCCCTGCTCTCTGCGGGCCAGCCGGGCAGCCAGGGACAGACCCCAGGCTTGCCCAGGCCGCGCTAGCGTGGGTGGAATCTTACCGGAGCCGGGAACCAGAGGCCGGCTCGCGGAGAACACAGGCTCTGCAATCAGCAGACTCGGATGCAACTTACTTTGTCTCTTTGAGCCTTCATTTCCTCACATGTAAAATGACACCCATAGTTCATCGGATCGGGAATGAATTATTATCACCATCATAACAGCCCTCCACACAGGGCACCGAGGGCACTGTGAGGCCTTACATGGGACGGTGCGTGTGGAGCGTCCACCCGACCCAACACCAGCAGCTGACACTCTCACTGAGCGTCTGCCATGTTCCAGGCAACACACACTCTGTCGGGCAACCGGTCGGACATGGGCGAACTGCTCCAGCAACTGCGGACGTCTGACTTACCATCCCTGTGTCGTTGAGGAGAACCCTGCAGCTCGGAGACCCGGATCACACCGGGGGAGCTGGGATCCTAACACAGGCAGGGCTAACCCTGGCCCCACACATACCGGCCCCTCACCAATCATTCTGCAATGGGCAGTCTGGCAGAACGCTAACGTAAGAACCAGAAAACCTGAGGCTGTATCTCTACCTGTAAGTAGGTGTAAGGTTTGGAGCAGTCCTGCCACCTCCCTCGGCCTGTCCCCTCGTGTGCACGTGGGAAGGACGAGGTCTGCCCCGCTGACTGCACAGGAGAACAGCCAGGGTCAAGCTCGGTGCTGGGCATCGGTGCTGTGCGGACCACAGCACTCAGTGAGCCCAGGACCATACACCTCCTGTACCTCACGCCGGCTCAGGGGCTGCCCAAGCTCTACTTACATACTGCCAGGAACAAGAAGCTCACTGCTTCTTTTAGCAGCCCGTTATATTATGATTAGAAAGTTCTTCCTTTTGCAAAGTCCACGGGGAGTTACTTGCCTGTAACTCCATCGCACTGGCCCTGGCCAGGTCCTCCAATGCCCTGCCAGTTGGAAAAACTCATTGCCAGTACCGCACAGTGGCTGTCAAAGACCCCGAACGAAGGCTGTGTCCTCGCTCGGGTCATCCTGCCCTGGGCTCCTCATCCTGACACAGAAGGAGGTGTCGAAGGCAGTAACGTTCTTGGTTGGGACTGGTTCCTCTCCTGCCGCCGACTCTCTCCCTGTCCCTGCTTCTCAGACTTCTGGGCCGGGAGGAGACGATCCGCATCAAGGAAGGGTGTGGAGGACGCCGGGGACGCCGCCGGCTGCTCTGACCGCTCGCACTTCCCGACGGCCCCGCCCTCTGCCAACACCACCATGCTGGCACTCGGGCTCTGGGGTCGGCGACCTTGCACCCCGTGCCTTGTGCATGCCCCCCAACGCGCACCGTGCCAGCCACTCTTGTGCCCGTACCTTGAAAGACTCCAGGAATCCCCCATGGCCCCCATTCTCAAACTTGTCCTCTTCAGGGCCCAGTCCCAGCATAGCCTGCGTGTGCGCGTGAAGCTCGTCGTGGAGGTTGTCCAGCAGGGCGGCCCTCGTCCGGTCCTGAAAGGAAAGACGGGGGGATGATGGACTTGGCACGGAGGACAGAGACGGGCCCTCTCCCTGGGGTCTCCCGACACCTAGCCACCAGCCTCCCAGGGACAGCATGGACCGGAGGCCTGGCTGGGCTCCCTGCTCACAAATACCGCAGCTACCACGAAAGCTCTGTGGCTGGCCTCTGCCCTCTTCCCCTGCCCCTTCTCCGTGGGCCGTCCCACGCCTCTACCCTGCTGACTCCCAGCTCGGGCCTCTGCCCCAAGCTCCACAGCCAGGTACCCAACTGCCCACACAGCTCTTCTCCACCCGGACGGTGGAACAGGGCCACGCAGACGACCTCCAGGGGGTGCCATTCACACACACCAGCCCCAGCCCCTGCAGGCACCTCCGTCAGCAGAGCCTCACAGACCTCGCGTCCCAAAGGCCCCCACGTCAGTGCCCAAGAGCCGCCCTGCAATTCCACTTCGCCCCACCCTATACACAGGAGTCCATAAAGTCTTCCCGACCCTGCCCCCAAACCATTCCCTCCTGGACTCCCATAACAGCTTCTAACCCGCCACCCTTCCCGCCCTCCTCCTTTCTCATCGCCGCCAGTGTAATCTAACACACTAAGTACTTTATGAGCACCTCATCACTTCCAGAGTTCAAAGCCTTTCCTGACCTGACCCAAACAACACCATCTCCAGCTGAGTCTCCGCCCCCACACGAGTCCTCCTCTTAGGACCCCTCAAACCCTCTGGAGCTCCCTCAAAAGTCATGCTCTGATCTGCCTGGCCTTTGCTTATGCTGTTTCCCATGCCTGGAATAACCCTCCCCAATCTTTCCTCCTGGCAAAAGGCTCATCAGATATCTAAATTCAGCAGCTCAAGGGCCACCTCCTCCAAGAAGCCCTCTGAACACATCCCAGTTCTTCATAGGCAGAATGAGTGCTGGCCTCCATCATGGCCCCGTGCCGACACCGTACCATAACCTGTCTCTTAAGTAATGGCCCCTTCGCACCAGCCCAAAAGCTCTGGAAGGCAGAAACTGTGCCTCACTTACCCCTGTATCACAGGGAACAGAAAAGAGCCTGGCACACAGCAGGTGCTCAATAAATGACCGGTGAATGGTTGGCTAGACCTAAGGTTTGGGTGGAGTTTCCACAAGAAGGAAGAGTTCCTATACCAATACAGGGCTGAAGGCTCCAAGGGGTCAAAGACGGCGCTCCTCACCTTGTGCGCCCCGAGGAACGGACCCCCAGGAGAGACTGACTAACAAGCAGCCGGGAAGGCAGGAGGAAGATGTCCAGAAACAGCGCACTCACCTCCAGCTTTGCAAACTTGTCTGACTTGCAGCAAGCGTTCTCTGCATTGGTGAGCTTGGTGAGCAGAAACTCCCTGAACTCCGGGCCCTAGAACAGACAGGAAGCTCGGCGACAGTCTCAGCTGTTGCTGAAAGGGCTTTCAGCCACAGTAACAGCTACGCAGAATGGGGGTTCTGGGGAGAGTCCCTAAAGGGTCCCCTTCGGACATCTGGTCATTTTCTAGCCCAGACCAGGACCACCTGCTAAGATGCCGACTGGTGGAAACCAGGTGTCCTGGTCCCGGGAAATCAACCCCCTCCACACCGTTTCCATGACTGGAGGCGATTCTTGTCCGAGGCTTCTCGGACTGAGGCCTAAGTGCAAAAAGCCTTCTCGCAGAAAGGCAACCCCAGAGTCAAACACCCTGACAAGAGGTGCTGTGCTAGATCAGACTGGCAGCACGAGGAGAGGTGGGAGAGACCCCAAGTGAGGAGATCCTCCCAAGCCTGCCAAAGGTGCTCCAGCCCAGATTTACCCCACTGCAGCCCCTGCCGCTCAGATACTGAAACCCAGAGTCTCGGGTAAAAGGAGAGCGGGGAGGGGAATTCCTTACCTTCTGGAAGACAGGAGGGCTAGGCAGAGGGGGGCCAAAGGCGGGCACATCTTCCCGTGCAGTGACTGAGACCTGAAACAGAGTGTTGGTATGGGCCGGGAGGGAAGAGATCCAAGCTGAGGAAGATAATGCATCCCGAGCCCTGGCCCTAGGGACGCCCACTGCTCGCAGCACACCTCCGCCCCTCCCCAGAATCCAAACACAACGTTCCCATGAGCCATCACCAGTAGGGCCACATGGCTGCTGGTACAAGTGGGGTCGGACAGCACAAAGCCATGTGCACGCTCCCATCTGCATTCCTAGAGGCCAGCAGCAAGTCTGGCAAGATGGCTGGACAGGGCTGAGGCGGCGGCGCCTGGGGCCCGACTTCGAATGCAGAACAAGTGCCCAGGAGGCCCTACCTGTTGCCTCATCTGACTGGACAGTACCCCAAGGAGAAGGCAAAGTGAGAACTGTTGACCCTGTCTTACTGATGAGGAAACACGTCCAGAGACTGGAGCCATCTCCCCACAAGCACACAGGTGATGGATCAGCCGCAGAGATGACCAGAGAATCCAGACCCCCGACCCCGCTGTGGGGCTCGTATCCCACAACGCTGGCTCCCGAGCCTGGCCATACATCAGAATCACTTCAAGTGTTTAAAAAATAAATACCGACTGCATGGGCTCCACCCCAAACCTCCTGAATCACAAGCTCTGGTATGGAGCCAGGAAGGTGCAACTGTCACACGCTCCTCAGAGCTTCTGTGCGGTTGGCGGACTAGTGTTCAGGCGCCCTGGGCCCCACGCGCCGGGTCAGACGGCCTGGCTGAGGCTTGACCTGAGCGCTGGGGCCCAGGATGGGAACTGTGGGTCGGGGGACATCCAGGTGCCCCGCACAGGGTGCGCCAGGCTCTGGCCAGCCTGGGGAGGCAGGAACTAATGCAGTGGGAGCACCCAGGTGCTCTGCGTGGGGGGCTCCCAGGTGCAGGACAGGCCCCGCACGTCCAGCTGTTCTCCCTGCGTGGAGGTGCCCTGGTTTCACCCGTTCTCAGCCCACGAGGCCAAAGGCCTCTCTGGAGACTCTGCCCTCTCCCTCTCCCAGACGGCCGCTGACATGAGCCTGGCCCTGGCACGCTGCCAGCCTCCCTGGCCTGTGAAGTAGGGCAGATGCCGAGAGCCTGCCAGACTGGGCAAGCAGGCAGCTCGGAGCCAGGCCAAAGGAAGGCCCTGCCAGGGTCTGGAAGGAAACAGTGGGAGAGAGCTGGTCAGTACGGCTTTCTCTCCCCAAGCTCAAGGCTGTCTGCACGCCTGCAATTAGGAAACGGTGTGTGTTCAGCTGACAGGATTTCTGGCTGGCTCCAGCTGCCCCACACAGTCCCCCACCACCACCCACTGCGCACGGGAATCTGGGAAGGGGTGGTGGGAAGGCACCTGGGAGGAGGCCAGGGGTCAAGCCACTGCCCCCTTGCCACCCCAGTGCCCCCCGCTCCGGCTTACACTAGAGCGGTCTGTGCTGACTGGGTAAGGAGCTTCAGACATGCTTTTCCACCGGCCGGGTCTCCCGGCCGGCCAAGCCCACCACAGCAGCCGTGTCAGAAAAGCAGGAGACAGGATCCTTCCTGGTGACAGTCCTGCATCTTCTATCCCTACCATGTTCCCTCTCCTGACCCCTTTCCAACACAGCGCCTGGGTCTTTGCTGGTCCCTCCTCTTGAGGACAGGTGGGTTGCTGGGCCAAAAGCAGAAGTTGCCAGAACACAACTCCGTCTTCCGTTTTCTAAAGTTAGTGCGCGCCTCCCAGCAGGGGGCAGGGCAGGGCTGAGGAGAGAGGCTGGAAAGCAGAAGGAGGCTTGGGGCGCCAGTACAAGCATCCACCAGGGAGGTGGGGAGCCTCCAGGGGCTCCAAACCTGAGATGCCATAGCCAAGTGCAGCGGGGCAGCCTTCGAAAACTGTGTCGGGGTGCTCAAGCACCAGATCCGCAGTGACAGGAAGGGATGCATCCAGACAGGACCCCTCCCCAGTGGTGGGCTTCGCATAGGATTCCTGAGACCTTTGCGGGACCTCAGGAACCAGGGCCAGGGTGACCTCAGACGGGAAGAGGAGGGAGTCTGAGTGATGGCTCAGCTGGAGTTCCCTTCCAATCTGGCAGGGCAGGGACAAAATTCATGTCTGAGAAATAATGCGATGTAACCTTTTCTGTACACCTGAGTTTGGGAGCCAAGTTTCCCCCATGCTCCGACGGCTCAGGGATGCAGACTGCAGGCAGGCCTGGACAGCGACTCCAGCTCTACCACTTCTGGGCTCTGTGGCCCAGGCCTTAAGGAACTTAAGCTCTCAGCCTCAATTTCCTTCCTATAAAATAGGGCTAACGAGAGATCCTGCCTGACCAGGGGCTTGGGAAAATTCAAGAAGACTGTGCTTCTAAGGGCCCAGCACAGTGCCTGGTACAGAGCAAGTACCTGGGGAGGGGTAACCTGCTACCTGGTGCTTTTGTTTTTTTTTTTACTTTCCCTGCTGACCCAAACCTAATAAAGGACACCCGAAATACTACAGAGTTCCCCTAAACCACTTTCTAATCTCTCTCTCTCTCTCTCTCTCTCTCTCTCTCACACACACACACACACACACACACACACACACACACACACGCCCCTCGTCCTCAGAACCCCCACCCCGGCCCCACATCCCTTCCTGCAGTATATCCGGGCTGTAAGGAACAGAGAGGATCTAGTCCAACTTCCTCATTTCACACAAATGGAAGCTGAAGTCCGGAGAGGGAAGGAACTGGCCCAAGGTCACAGAGCAGTCAGAGGCAGGGCCAGGACCAGAAGCCCCAGCTCCTGAGCCTCTCGGTCTTGGAGGCCTTTCCTGCACATCCCTACCCCTGTCCTTCCCTTCCTTTCCTCCTCTTTCCTGTTTATCCTCCCTAGTGCACAGCTCCCTGGGGCTATCCCAGCCTCCTCTGCCATAGCCCCCAAGTCTGCAGAGGTCAGCGAAGGTCCCATTTCACCCTGGACCTTCTGAGGAATCTGACCAGGTCCTCCCCAGTCTTCTCATCACCTGGGGTGCTGCTGGGAGCATGAATGGACACAGCTTTGGGGAATGCCTTGGAAGGCTGGGCCCCCTCCCTGCACTCTGCACCCCCGGCCCCCCACTCACAGGTCTTGCCTTTCGGGCCCAGATGTTTGCCCGGCCGGTGCCACACGGTCCCACAGCCCAGTCCGGCTCTTCCTGTGGGTCCTGCTTCTCTGCCATCATCACCCTCTCTGAGGACAGAGCTTTTCCCTGGACCATGGGCTGTGGCTGGGAAGACTTGGTAAAGACTTCCAGCATCAAAGCTGAAGGTGAGGTGGTGCTTTGTTTGGATCGCTGTATTTTCCCACTCTACTAAGCTCTTGGGAAAGTGGAGAAGCCGGTTAGCTGAGTTCCATTTCCTATCGGGAGCTAAAAACAAATACTAAGAGTCCACGAGAGGCCCCACTCTGCCAGCAGAGGCCCAGCAGACAAGCCACACATTGGCAAATGACTGCCTGGCATGGGCAGGGAGCCCTCCTGCCACACAGCTTCACCTCGAGGACCCTCCGCGGTGGCCCTCTGTCTCTACTGGCTGGGAAAAGAGCCAGCTGGCTGACTGAGCGGCCCAGGGGCTGAACTGCACCTCCGTAGTCCTCTCTCCCTCCTGGGAGGCCGGTTCTGTATATCACTTCCACATGCCCCACCCCTAGCCAGGCATACAGGAGCCACCAACTGAATACACTTGCTTCCATCAGCAAATCAAGCAGCCGTCTGAAGTGAATGCCCATGTTGGTCTAGAAAGGCGATCCTTCGAGGAAATGCCCAAACCGCAGCTTTTCTGACATTTCAGCTGAAATTGCTCAGTGACAAAGGAGCAAGAACATGAACATGGGGATATGAAAGAACCAGCTTTCCTCGTAGGAAAGAATGTGGGGTTTTATTTGTAGTCTCATATTTAGTTTTAAAGTTGGTGTGAATTGTGCACTTAAAATATGTGGGTTTCTACTGATGTAACAATTACATGACATCATTTTCTTTTCCAAAGTCTTCAAGCAAAGTTGATACTTCGTGAAGATGGCCCTGAAGCACTAGGACTTCATGAGCCCTTGGAAGAGCACTGGCCAGGTTATGACATAGTTATTACATTTTCAGGTCTCCCAATTTCCCCCTTAGCAACCACGCGCTCATTTCCTGTTAGAACGGTGGTTCCTAACACTGTGCGGAACAGGGAGCCCTCTGAGAATTTGAACTTTGGTCTCTCTCCCTCTAAAACGCAAAGCAGCACATAAACTCAACATTTTGTGCATAAGCAACATTTTGCACATATCCACAAGGGGTTCAAAGACTAACATCCACATTAAAGACCCTGCCTCAGTCTATCTCCCTTGGGTCGCACACCCCCAACAACACTGAGATAGAGAGAAACTGTTGCCCAAGAGGTCAGAACTGTTTCTCATGGAGAAGAGAAGGGCAAGGCTGGTTGTACAGCCACCAGGAATGGGCAGGGTGAGGATGCTGGGGCTTACCTGCTTTAGGGAGGACACTAAGCCATTTTGGAAGACCACTCACTGACCTGGAGGCTTCGACTCAGCTGCTTGCAACCCGACCTCCCTGGGAGTCTTCAAATTAAGATCGATCATTTCTTCCAGAACAGCTAAACCAGAAGGACCCACCCCATGTCCAGGGCCCCTGCTCTCCACCATTCTCACCATAAACATTTCTCCTACTTTCTTTCCCTTTGTTTGTTACCACCCTGCTTCCTCTTCCTTTCCTGACGGTCCCCCCACCTCCAACCTTCTCTTTTTTTCGTCTCCTCTGGCTTTGCCTTAGTCCAGCCAATAGCATCACCAGATACCAAACAGGGGCACCAGGGGCTTCTCAACCCTTGAGTGAGATGCTATTGGACCCGGAGGCAGCCAGACAGATGAGATGACCTCAGAAGGTGCCTTCCACCAAGAGTCCAGCTCCCAAATCCCAGAAACCTGGGATTTCTAGAAAATTGATCACACCAATGCTGGAGCATTGCTGAGGAGCCATGGAGAACTAGTGGTCCTTGACATTACTAAATCCAGAAGGTGTGAAGTGCCTGCGCCCCCCAATTCCTCCAACGAGCCGTTCTCTTCACCTTGTAGGATGGGGTCTCCGTGCCCTGGTTCTCGGCCTGCACAACAATGTAGGCGTGTAAGAAGTTGGAGGCAATCATATCTGGGACAAATGGTGTGTTTTCTTCTTGGAAGATGATGGCCACAATGTCATTCCCAATGTGTCTCTTTCTCTGGAGCTAAACAAAGAAGGGTCCGTTGTTGTAAGCCAGCTAGGAACATCGTGAAAACAGACTAGATCTATACAGGAAATTCTTCATTATTCTATCTTTATACAGAAACCCTGAAACTGAGACCTATCTCTCCAGGGGAGCTTTTTTTTCTTTTTTTCTTTTCAATCTTCAGAAGCCACCCAAAAGAAAAAATGGGGAAGACGCCTAAGATATTAGGTAGAGGCTAGCAAGCACATTACTGAGCTCTACAGCACGCAGAGCCCTGACACAGGACTCAGGGAGAATAGTTAAAAGGTGAGGAACGGGTTTTGCCCTGGTAAAGCCTGTAATAGATCCGGAAGAGACACAAACACAGGTGAAGCCACCTGAGAACAGTAACAAAGGCACCAGCCAGCACGTGCTACATCAGCGGCCACACACAAAGCGTCTGGCACTCTGGGGGCAGAAAGGAGGGCAAAATCAGAGGCCTGGTGCTAACCTGAGAAGGCTTCCTGGAAGAGGAGATAGAGGTGGGGGAGGGGGCAGTGCTTGATGGAAATGTGGATGAGCAGGGATGAGCGGGCAGATCATTCTATACCAGAGGGAAGGAGAGCCACGCTTAGAGAAAGAGGGGACCTGGCTTGGCGGAGGTCACGGGAGAGAAATCCAAGCCTGATTCAGTGTCCCAAACGGGGCCGGGTCCTTCCACAGGTGCTCTCAATCACCGAGCACCTACTGTGCGTCAGGAACCATGCTGAGGTGCTCACATGCATGACTTCAACTACTGGGGCCACGGAAGCCTGGTGAGGTGCTTACCTATGCGTTTGTTCTCTTATTAAGCACCTAAGGCATGGAGGCCCTCCGTTTCACACTTACTTTCTTATTTACAGAGCACTGCTATAGACTGAGCCCCATGCTGGGCACTTTTACACAAATTGTCACTTATCCCATCCACCTCCTCCCATTTCTTGGGAGCAGAAAATTAACATTTATTCAGTCCTTGCAGAGAGCCAAGCTCTGTGTCTGTCCCACTGAATATGGGGGAGACTGAAAGAGAGCCCCAGGCTGGGGCAGGGGGCGAGGAGGCCATGAAGGAACAGAGAAACACAGGCGAAACGTGGAGAGAAAACCTACTTTGGATTCAAAAGGAATCCTGCTCCCATTTGTTTCTGGAACATTCAGTGGTTATTTTAGAGCCAAATCACAGTCTCATTTGCCAATTTCCTTCTTCCCTAAGAAGCCAGGCACTATGTTTACAGTATTATATCTGTGCTCCCTCCTCAGTTCCCTGTTCAGAGAGGAATGGGTCAGAGTCTGGGGAAGAGCCTACCTTCCTTTCTGAGTTTCCTAGAGACTGAAAAGGCACAAAGAGTGGGAGGGGGCGGATGGCGCAACAGCCAGGCCTCAGCTGCTGATTTCAGGGCTCACCGAGGAAAGAGCCGGGCCACCCTGGGGACACACCACTCTCAGAAGCAGCAAATGAGCGGGAGGGCAGGAAAACGCTGGATGCAGAGGTCTCATCCAGGTTCCCTGGTTGAGGTGAAGGCCGAACTCCTGCCCACGAACAGGTGCAGCAAGAGATGAGGCCATGAGACTAGAAAGGCTGAGAGGCAGGGGGTGTTAAAGCAATGACCACCACGGCGAGGGGCGGGGGGGGGCTGCCACCCATCACTGGGGCAGGAAGGAGGGCAATGGTCAGGAAGGAAGCCTGCCACAAGCCAGACACCGTACTGAGCCCTACCTTCAGAACCTTCTGTGATGCCCACAACAAGCCCCTCACTTAGGTGGTGGTATCTGTTTTACAGCTGAGGAACATGAGGCCACAAGGTTCACCAGCTTGCCCGGAGCCACGTAGCCCCGCGTGGCAGAGCTGCTGTCAAGCTGCTACTTGCAAACGCCGACACATCCTCCTCACCACCACCCTCCATGAGCAGGGCACTTGGACTCTGCTCCCAGCTCTGCCCCTAGTCAACTAGGACACAGTCTTCTAACCACGCTGAGCTGCAGGTTCCCCACCGGGCAGAGCGGGACAACTGGGAGCCCTGTCCTGACTCCCACACAGGGGCTGACGTGCTGCCTGGGTGGGTTAGCGCAATGGAACAGACTGGCCTCCAGATTATGAAAGTGGGGAGGGGGTCCCAGCCCCTCAAGTACCCAAGACCAGCAGCAGGCTTTCACCTCACATGCCCCATGCTCCCAACGCCCTCCCAAACCAGGTTACCTGCTGGGCGTCTCCCTCGGTAAATGGCAGCTTTGTGGAGACGTGAAACATGATCTCCCTGTCCCGGAATATCGTGTACACGGATTCCACCCCTGTCTGTCCGTGGGTCACATCCAGGCCTCCGCGGAAACTGTCAGTAAAACAGGGCAAGAGCAGGGAGGGAGAGAGTGTGAGAAGTAGGCTACGTGGTGCCTTCCCTGAGGATACGGGGGCAGGAGAAGGAATGAGAAGACACGTCAGAGTGGGGGCACAGAGAGAATGATGTGCACAGCGTAGCTAGGTCTGTGCTCCTGAGCACACGAGCCCCGGAGTTCTACCCGTAAGCCTGTTATTTAAAAGACAAAGGCAGAACATCCATACGGTCAGTGGGAAGGGAGGTCACCCATCCTCAGTCCCAGACAAACGCCATTCCAGGTGCCAGTGGCCCCCACGGCTGGGCATAAGCCTTTCCTCTCTGCAAGGCCATGTCCAAATCCTCAGCCCGGAGCCAGGGCAAGCAGCCATCCTGTGGGGAGCATCCAGAGTCAGCCTGAAGAGTCTGGATTTCCACCCAGCCAGTCCCCCGTGTGGAGACCCAGCCACAGCAGCACCCAACCTAGCGGCGTCCAAGGAGCCCCTCTCCGGGTATCTCCTCAAAGGCAGGAAAGGAAAGTACTAAGACACTGGGTGGGCTTCCGGGAGCCGCCCCTTCTTCCTTTATAGACATGTGGCTCCCGGCCCTGGGTCACATTCTTTAGCAAGGGGAGGAGGATGCAGGTTCCTTTAAGAAAATGAAATAAAGCAGACCCTGGACGTCAGTCCCCACAAGCGCTGTAACACAAACCAGATAACGTGCCCCGCCCGGCATGGCAGGAAGCTCACCAGCCCAGGAGCCAGGCGCTCCGGGTTCTGCCGCTGCTTCTGCCACTAAGTCAGCGCGTGACCTCGGGCACATCACTTAACCTGTCTTAATCTGCCTCAGTTTCCTTCCTCTATACGATAAAGGGCTAGAAGTCCCTGATCTCTGGGGTTCTTCCTGGTTTGAAGAGGCTTTATTTCATCTATTCTAAGGCACACCTTTTTTCGTAGTTTAACATCTCCGAAATCAGGATGCATCTTACGATGAAGGCATCTCGGAGTCAATGGAAGGTGGCACAAGAAGAGCAAGAACTCGAGGACTCCCTGTGCTGACTCCACGTGGGGCACCAGCTTAGCCGTTTCACATGCCCGACAACCTGGCGGTGTCAGCGCTATCTTTACCCCCCTTTTACAGACGAGGAAACTGAGGCTTTCAGGGAGTAAGTCTCTTGTTCAAAGACACAGAGCCAATAAGTGGTGGAAGTGGGACTTTTAGCCATGTGTGACTGACTCCAGGTGGCCGTGATGACCTTGGAGGGGGAGGCAGACAGAAGAGGGGTGGGGTGGGGGGAGAAGAAGAGGAGAAGAGAAGGGAGTGGAGGAAGGAAGTAATTACTGAACACCCACTACACACCAGACCCAGAGCTGGGCACTTTTGCACCTGATAGGAGATCCTGTTAATTTGGCTGCTGAAGCAGGGGTTCCTTGGGGCTCAGCTGTGTGCCAGCCACAAAGCACGGAACAGGCTGGCCAGGCCGGAAGACCATGCTTAAATGCTGCCTTTGTCAAGGGAAATCAGGGCCCGGAGCCTTCCAAGCAATAGCTCCAAAATTCTTTCTTTCCACTTAGAGAACCAGAGACTACTGCATAGGTTCCTTCCAGGGAGATTACTGTATTTCCACCACCTCTTAATTATCCATTCTTTTTGTGTGTTATCTGAAATGGGCCACTTCCCCCAAAACTGCACAGGGCCCTCTTTCCTGAAGTCCTGGCAGGTGAGTGACAGAGAAGGTGGATTCATTTCACTCTTGGTCTGAGCAGTTTCATCATGCATCAGAAGGCCAATGTCGGTGCCGTTCAGATAATGTGCCATTCTGGATTATCCCCCACATCACCCGTTTCCTTAGGAATGCAGGTGAATGTTGATCACTTGCTGAAAAATGATCCCATGTTTCTTGTGTGTGTTTTTGCCTCTCACATACCCCCTGAGACTCAGGGGTTGCCCCTCTCCCTTACTCTAGGCTTTTATCAATAGAGCCGGAGCCATCCGCTGGCTGAAACTCACCCTTTGAAATCCTGCAGTGTGATTGTGTCCCCCAAAAGATCCAAGAACTCCTTGAAAGCTGGGCTCTCCTCATTGTTCCCAAATAGCTCCTCCTCCAGGGTCTGAAAGAGAAACAAAATCAGGGGTAAGAGTCAGAAAAGCATTCTTGATGCCAAGGGAAGGAGTGTGGTTGTCCAGCTACCTGGTCCTTTTCTTCCTTTCTTCCTACGCCCCAACATATTTGCCAGCCAGTGGCTCTGCTTGACTGGAGGAAGGACAAATAGAAGCTCACTCAGCAGAGCCAGAACTTCGGGGCTGGTTAATGAGGACTTGCTATCTCAAGAAAGGCTACTGGTCCGTACACAATGCAAAGCTGAAGCAAAGAGTTCTTAGAATTGATACCAAAAACCATTCCATAAATGAAAAATAGTTGGCCTTCTGACAAAGGACTAGTATCTAGAATATATAAAGAACTCTCAAAACTCAGTAGTAACCAAAATCATAATGAGATACCACTTCACACCCCCTGGGTGGCTATAATCAAAAAGAAAGACAAGAACTGATGGTGAGGGGGCACCTGTGTGGCTCAGTCAGTTGAGTGGCAGACTCCAGATTTAAGCTCAGGTCATCTGCTTGAGGATTTTTCTCCCTCTCCCTCTGCCCCTCCCCCCACTTGCATGCTCTCTCTCTCTCTCTGTCTCAAAAAAAAAAATACATCTTTAAAAAAAAAAGAACTGATGGTGAGGATACAGAAAAGTCAGAAGCCTTATACACTGCTGGTGGGAATATAAAACGGTGCCATCTCTTTGGAAAACAGTCTGGCAGTTCTTCAAAGGGCTAAGCATAGAGTTACCATATGGCCCAGCAATTCTACTCCTAAGAATATATCCAAGAAAAATGAAAATATAAATCCACACAAAAACTTGCACATGAATGTTAAAAGCAGCATTATTCATAACAGCCCAAAAGTGGAAACAACCAGAATGTCCATCAACTGACAAATGGATAAATGAAATGTGGTATGTCCATACAATATATAATTCTGCCATCAAAGGAATGCACGACTGACTCATGCTACAACATGGATGAACCTTGAAAACATGTTAAGCAAAAGCACATAAAAGGCCACATATTATGATTCCATTTACATGAAGTGTCCAGAACAGCCAAATCCGTAGAGACAGAAAGTCGATTTTTGATGATGGGAGCTGGAGAGAATGGTGATGGAGTGACTGCTAATGGGTATGGGGTTTCTTTGGGGGTTGATAAAAATTTTCTGGAGTTAGAGAGTGGTGATGGTTTTACAACTCTGTGAATATACTACAAACCACTGAATCATACCCTTCATTGAGATCTAATTCTCAAACCGTTGTGAATCATATTAAATGTGAGTTACACCTCAATAAAGCTGTTATAAAGTTTTTGAACAGTAAAAAAAAAAAAATCCAATAGAAAATGGTCAAAAGAGGGGTGCCTAGCTGGCTGAGTCGGTGGAGCATGCGACTCTTGATGTTGGGGTTGTGAGTTCAAGCCCCACATTGGATGTAGAGATTACTTAAAAATACAATCTTAAAAAAAAAGAAAAGAAAAAGAAATGGTTAAAAGACATGAACAGCCATTTCACCCAAAGAGATATATATATATCTGTATACAGATGGCAAATAAGCACATGAAAAGATGTTCAACACCATTAGCCGCCATTAGAAAAATATAAACTAAAACCATAATGACATATCACTACACATCTATCAGAATGGCTAAAATTAGAACAGTAACAACACCAAATGCTGGTGAGGATGTAGAGGAAATGGATTACGCATACATTCCTGGTAGGAATGCAAAATGGAACAACCACTCCAGAAAACAGTTCACCAGCTTCTTACAAAACTGAACATGTAATTACCATAAACCCAGCATATGCTCCTCAGCATTTACCCCAGAGAAATGAAAACTTATGTTCACCCAAAAACCTATATACAAATGTTCATAGCAGCTTTATTCATAATAGCCTCAAACTGGAAACCACCCAGATATCCCTCAAAGGGTGACTCGTTAAACAGACCACAGTATATTTATACCATGGAATGCTATGCAGCCATGAAAAAGAAATGAAGCCTACTGATACACTTAAGAACTTGGATGAATCTCCCTGAATGCGAAAAAGAGCCAATACCCAAAGGTTATATATAGTGTATGATTCCACTTATGTAACATTTCTGAAATGACAAAGCTTTAGAAAGTGGAGAATACATTAGTGGTTGCCAGGGCTCAGGGACTAGAGGTGGGAAGGGATGATGGAGGCAATAGGGAGGTTAGCCTGCTTATGAAAGGGCCACACAAGGGATCCTCGTGTTGCTGGACTTCTTCTGTATCTTGACTGTGAAGGCTACACATGTAATAAAATTATATACAATGAAATACACACACAAACACCCGATGGTCGCATGCAAAACTAGGAAAGTCTGAACAAGATCTAAGGATTGTATCACTGTCAATATCCTGGCTGTAATTTTGCACTATAGTTTTATAAGACATTACCTTTGGGGAAAACCGGGTAAAGGGTACAAAGATCTCTCTGTATTATTTCCTATAACTGCATGCCAATCTATAAATATCTAGAAATTAAAAGTTTAACAATTTTTTAAAAAGTAGAAAGCAAAGCTGAAAACAGTAGTAAGCTCTGCACTTGTGACAGGCTTCAAACAGTGCACGGCCCTGCCTGATCAGCAGGCTCTGCCCACCGTGGCAGGATCGGCAAACAGCCGATGACTCTGCAAACATACACAGATGGCAATTAACAGCTGCAGATGACACAGGAAACTCCAGTATGCACAAGTGCTTCCGGAAGAAAGTCTCCAATAGGTGATTCTTTAATATCTCCTTAACACTTGCTTTATTACAAAAAAGAGCAGATCCCAGGTTCTATGCCTTCAAGAGGCAACAGAATCTAGCTAGATTTCAATAACTTTTCTCTTTTTATAGTATTTCTTTTTAGAATTACCTTCATTTCATGCAAGGGATACTGATTTTCTAATCAGAGTAGTGATACAAAATTCCCTTTAAACAATGGACTTAAGGTGAAAAAAACCTTTTAAGGAAAATGTTAGGTAGTTAATAATATAGGTGTGATAAAAAGTGTAACAGAGGCAAACGGTAGGAAATATGATCTTGGATGTCATTTGTGAATGTCTGAAGTTTGGGAAACACAGTCCTCTAGCAGGGGTCAGCAAACTATGGCCCAAGGGCCACATCCAGCCTGAGGCTTTATAAATAAAGTTTTATGGGAACACAGCCAGGACAATTCATTTAGTTTTGTCTATGGCTGCTTTTGCACTACAAAGGCAGGTTTGGGTAGTTCCACAGAGACAGTATGGCTCATGAAATCTAAAATATTAACTATGCAGCCATTCACAGAAAGTGTGCTAAGTCCTGAGGTATATATAGCATGCCACAAAGGCATTACAACCCTGACCCAGCATGCTGCTTACCCCAGGTCATGAGGCCAGTGTGTGGGAGAACAGCTGCTTCCGGGTAACAGACATCTTCTGCTGGGAAAGCAATCCAGCTTGTTTGTTTGTTTGTTTGAAGTTTTATTTATTTATTTGACAGAGAGAGAGAGACAGCCAGAGAGGGAACACAAGCAGAGGGAGAGGGAGAGGGAGAAGCAGGCTTCCCGCGGAGCAGGGAGCCTGATGCGGGGCTCGATCCCAGGACCCTGGGACCCTGACCCGAGCCGAAGGCAGACGCCTAATGACTGAGCCACCCGGGCGCCCCAGCAATCCAGCTTACTCACTGGGGTATGCAGTTCTCTCTAGCATTTACACCCAGCCTGGTATTAGCATAATCTTTATTTTTACACTGGCCATGAATTTGACCATGCACTCAGGGAGGGGGTCTTAGTCATCACTGTGCCTGACAAACAGGAGAATTAGATGGGACTTATTTATATCCTAAGAACAGCATAGAGCTTTCATGCAACAAATGTTCATACTAACTGCCCCACGGATATAGGTCTGCAAAACAATAACTTTTTAAAAAGTTTTTTAAAAAAGACTCTTATTTCCCCGTGTACCTCCACTGTGGCTCAGCAACATCAGGTAAATAAACAAAACACAGACTCCTCTCAGAGGTGGATGGTGTTAATTATAATTTTGCTGGAACACTGGATTGTAATCACCTTAGGAGATCTGCTATGGTAAATTTCACAAGCAAAAACTTTAATTAGGGGGTTATATTACCAGAGCTGTACAAAATAAATATGCAATATGTAAAAATAATTAGAGCAGCTACCTGAATAATCTCCCTTCAATTATAAGATTCATCTGTGTTGGCCTCTCAGCTCCTAAACTCTTCACTTAATTACAATGTTTTTAAGCAAACACATGTCTCTTGTGGTCTAATATCTTCAGACAAGGAAGTCGGCTATCATCTAGCCAAGAAACACACCATCACACACACACAAAAAAACCCACAGATAATCTTGAAAGATACTATTGACCTACCACAAGAGCATCAAAACTTTGATCCATTAATTCACACAGCAAAAAGTTATTGAGTGTATTTCCATAAAATCACCATGCTACGCTCTTGGATGATACCAAGATGAAATTGGTGTGGAACCTTCTACATGAGGAAACATGGGTGCGTTCAGCAGACCACTTCTCAGGATGCTAATACATGTCCGTGGTAGGGAAGATGGGAAGTTTGTGGTCAAGTAAGTATGGGAAACACTGAGTGCAACAAAGCCATGTGAGCTCTTTACCTTGGGGGTTCTTAGACCCTTTAAAATATTCCCACACACTGCCCCCACCCCCACAAGTCATTTGTTCACAGAGTACCCACCAGGCTAGCGTCTCATGGAACACACTTTGAGAAACATTATTCTGACTAACCCCAAAGCAGCATATGAGTGTTGCAAGAGACAAAGGAGGGTGAGCAGTACTACTGGTAAATTTTTTAACAACCAGCTTTCCAAAGAGAGAAAACAGAAGCCCTGGTTTGCACATTTCCACAGTGTAAACACTTCCGCCATGGCTGATTTCAAGCAACCAGCATGACATCACGGAACACAGAGCTGGGAAGAAATGCACGCGATACTCCAGCAATCTAAGGAAGTTCAGGGAGAAAAAGCTAATTCCTCTTTGGGAGAAGAGCAGGCAAGGAGAAAGCAGCTTGTGCTAATCCATTCCCTTGACCCAGTCTGACTTTTCTTGTGACAAGAGCCCAGGGTTCAGTATAAGCTGAGGTAGCCAGGAAGAATTAGAAGTTGCTGTCTGAAAAACAACATTGCTGTTAAAGGATCTGCAGGCCTTCTTATGAGGAGTAGCCCACCTTGAAGATTCTGTCACCTCCAGCCTAATTCATCTGTGAAATGTGACTGCTGTGTTCGGCATGTGTAAGAGCCTAGCGTAGGGCTCCCGTGCGTGGGGGAGACCAAGAGGGAGCCCCCAGAGAGAAACCACAGGGTAGAGTGACCAGTATGGATTTGTGGTGCTTACCTGCCTGGCTTTTTGATAAATGACCCCAAATTTGAATGTGTTGTTGACATCGTGCTCATCATAGGACACAATCATTTGGGAGGCCTGGAAAAACGTAGAAAGAAAAAAATCAGATTGTTGATTAACTTAGAGACAAGTGAAGGAGCAAACAGAAGGGAAAGCACCCATTCTGGCGGAGAATATGCCCCCCTGGTGTGAGACATCCACACATGTGCAGCGAGGCAAAGGGAAAGCCAGAGGTCTCAGCTAGTTCCCAGACCTGGGCTCCCCCACGGTGGCCACACCTCTGGATCACCATTCCATTCCCATCCAGATGTGCCAGCCAAGGCCTGGGCACACAGGGACTTACTCAGTGTTTTACCTGTGGCATAAAAAGTAAAGGACCCTGAAACTGGTCAGCAAGGATGACGCTGGCTCTAATGACACCTCTGATCAGCAGGGCGATTTTGAGCAAGGCACAGCTCATGCCCAGACTCCAATCCCCCTTTATCCATAAAGTGAAGGTCTCTAAGGAGGAACATACAATATGCAAGGGCGGGGGGGCTGGGCGGGGAGAGAAGAACCCTGACCACTAGTTCTGTTTAGTTTCCTATTGTGCCTCAGTGTTGGTGTCCAGGGCTTAGAAACACTAAAGTCTGTATCTTGAATCCACTGCTTTTACCTGGATAGCTTTGAGTGAGCCACTTTACTTCTCTGGGTCTCCGTTTTCTCATCCATTAAATGGAGATGTGTGGTTGTGAAGATTCAGTAAGACTAAGCACATAAAGTGCTGAGAACAGAGCAGGTATCACCATCATCATCCTCATCATCTACAGAACCCTCCAGAAAGATCAGAGCTGAACCAACTTGTTAGGAAGAGGAGACTTGGGTGTTATTGGGATAGTCTCTGCAGTAAAAAGGAGGGATCTGACCATGTGTTACACAACAGGAAGAACAAACTGGTCGGAATATGCAACCCAAGTGAGGCTCTCTGCTACCCAAGGAAATTGGCACTTCTCAGCTCCCCAGGAATAGCACTACTGCCCAGCTCCAGAGGGAGACCCCGCGCCCACATGCAATGGTCAAAGGTGCAGAGAAGCTGTCCTGCCAGGGAAGAGGCATCCGGCCACGGAGACCCTCCACAGAAGGTCCTAAACTCTGTGAATTCTAAGTACACACACCTCAGCCGGATTAACACCCCAGCTGGACTAAGCAGTCCTTCAAACATAGAAAAACATGAAAATACAGCTGCTCTTCCATTATTACCAGAGCCGGAGGCCTTCCAAGTCACAGAGAGCACTGTGCAAATGAGCGTCACCGGCTTCTCTCAGTGGACAGGATTTGATGACAAAATTTGCCAAACTTGTAGTTAAGTAAGACCTTTATGACAGGGTTTTAATGTTTGGTTAAAGCTCACTAATTCAGCTTTAATTATAAAGGGAAGGGTGGTCTGAATGAAAGAAAATCCTCCGTGGTGGGCAGCTTATTACTGGGGAGAGCCTACAGATGCTCAGAGGGTGTCTGAGACAGGGGGCTCTGGCACATTCCCTGTGCAGGTGAGGACCCTGCCATTAGCTCGGCCATGGCACAGGGAAGAACGGTGTCGAGCACAATCATGAATGTTCAAGCCACTTGTTCCAGGGGGTTCTGGATGTCTCAGCCAGGACAGGGCCTCTCTTCCCCAGCAGACGTCGCACCTCGCTGTCCCTCGCTACCAGCAGTGGGGCGCAGTGGGGTGCAGTGGGGTGCAGTGGGGCACAGTGGGGCACAGGGAGCAGACTGGGCCAGCCCCTGGAGCCTCTGAGGCCACCGTGTCGGTGCGCAGTGTGGGCTCAGAAGCACAGCTGGCTTCCGCTTCCGGCTCCCCGGGCCCTGCAGGCTCATGAAGACGCAGTCTGCGCCCTCGCTCTCCTCCTGTGGCCAATTTAGAGCAATTCACTGTCGTGAGTGATTGAAGTCCTGTCATGCCACAATTGTTCTTGAGTGGGCTTGCTGGCTTGCTTTGTTATTACTGCTCCTCTGCCCACCCGCACTCCCACAGCTGGAGTCAAGTTCAGGCCAATCCTGAGGAAACTGACAAGAGAACCAGCCCGTTTATGAACTAGGGCTGTGCAGGGGCTTGTACGGGCTCAGTGCTGCAGTAACACTGGCAGGCGGGAGCCACGATCTGGCCTTTGATTTCTTAGTGGGGTTCTGCCCCCCTTACACCTCCATGATGGCAGACCAGATCTGTGCTAACCCTCCAGCTATAAGTAGACTCACTCCCCACCCCAGACGGGCCTCAGGGAAGTACGACCAGAGTAGGGGGAGAGGTCACAACACTGCAGCCCCTCTGGCACCTCCACAACAGATGGGGAACTGTTCAGGTGGGTCTCTCCCCAGGTATGGCCAAGGACAGGTTCCCAGGGGACCCATTTGCACAGGGGTGAGCCAGGAAAGGGGGAGACACGGAGGTATCAAAACCCCACCAAGATGCACAGAACATTCCACAGAGCCACAGGCATGCAAATCTGTGCCAAGCGACAGAGCCCTGGGTAAGGGGAGGAGGTGAAGGTCCTCACCTTGGGGTACAGGACAGGGTTGAATTTCAGCCCCGCAGCGTCATCACAGAAAGCCTAAGCAAGAAGAAAGAGACACACAGTTCAGAGGTCATTTCCACTGAAAACATCTGGGCTGCTCTGCCCACCAGGAGAAAGAGCATGGGAGGGCTGGCCCTGTGGGGTCAGAAGGCCTGGGGCTGAACCCTGGCTTTGCCGCTCACTAACGAGTGGCCAGGAAAGCCAACTCACCTTCCCGGGGCTTCCTGATAAAGTAAGGCCACAGAAGGCATTCGGCACAATTCTGCTTGGCATGTGGGTCCAACCCAACTGACCATCCTTCTCACCTCACTCTGCTGACTCAGTTCTCAAGTTCCCAGTATCCCAGAGCAGAGACACGGGTCCCTCCACCAGCTGACGGACAGCTCCTTACTCAAGGGGGGTCCTCTGTCTGGACCAACAGCCCGGCCATCCTCCAGCCCATCTCTCCTCTGCGGTGAAGTCTCCCTGGCCACCCCCTTCCTTCCTCCTCTCAAGTCCTACAGCACTCTCCATAGCCAGCCCTTTCTTTCCATCTCTCTGGTCCCCTAAACCAGCTGTGAGCCTGGAGGCAGAGGCCATGGGCAGCCTCAGCTGTGAGGAAGAGATGGGGAGTTTGCAGGGAAAACAAGGGCATCTGCCAACAGCCCTCCTCCACCCCACCTACACCGTCAAGGGCCAAAGAGTACGGTGTCCTTCCCCTCTCCAAGGGCAGAGCCCTCTCGGGATAAGCCTGTACCCTCCCCCTCCCAGCCCTGGGCTAAAAGAGGAAGCTAGCTTCTCACAAAGGCTGCTTGTTACCTTTGCAATCTGAGGGACGCTGGGCAACTTGCTCAGTCCGGCCAAGGGAATCCTCTCGTGCACTGTCTTCACTTTGGACCTGCACACGTGAATGAGGGTGAGAAAAGGAGCCCGTTAGGAAAGGGGCTGAGATCACACCAGACCACAAGGCACACTCGCTGGGTCTCCCCGGGTCAGATCTGCCGCCTTTCACCCAACCCGTGAGTGGAGCGCCACACTCAAACGGTGGGAAAACGGAATCTTGTCCTTATCCTGGAGGATACAGAGGCCTGGTAGAGCCTCTGCAACTGAGATATGGGACATGCGGAAAGTCACCTTCAAGTTCACCAAGAATTTTTGGGTTGCTGTGGGGATTTTTTTGTGTTCTCCCAAAGAACTGGGCACAGCTTCTGGATAGATGTGTGTTCTCACATGCAATTAAGCCCTTATGAAAAGAAAATCTAATACTTGAAAATCTGGATTTAGTCAAAATATAAATGGGATGAAAGTTGCTTTATAAAGGGATTCACCGTTAAGACTCTAAATTTAGCCTGTTCCCCTGATTCATTTAGCACATTATGAAAGTGTTGAATTTTACTGAATACTCTTCTGCATCTGCTGAGATAGTCATATGGTAACTTGGTAGATTACATTTCTGTTGAGCCATCTTTTCATTCCATGGGTAAAACTCGCTTGCTTGTGATGTATTATTTTTTCATATCCTGCTGACTTTAATTTGTTAATATTTTATTGAGAGTTTCACATCAATAGTGACACTGGCTTTTTTTTTTTCTTGTACTTCCCTTGTCAGGTTTTGATATCAAGGTGTTATCCCAGCCTCATAATTTTGCTGGGTAGCTTCTGAACCTTTGAATTAGTCTGTATACACCACAGGGATTTACTGTTCCTTAAAGGTTTGCTAAAACTCATCTGTGAAATCTCTGGGCTTGTTTTTTTATGGGGGGAGGATACCTTTGGCTACCAATTCAGTTTATTTAACGGTGAATATTTAGGTTTTCTACTCCTTATTGAGTCAGTTCAGTAATTTATGTTTTTCTATATAATTATGCAATAGTACACTGACATAGAATGGGTTTTGGTATTCTCTTAGGAGTTAATCCGCACTTATAATCACACCCCTCGCTTCACTGTCATAACATGATCTATTTGTATCTTTTCTCAGTTATGCATAATCAGTCCTTGATGAGGGTGTTCCTATTTTATTAATCTTTCCAAAGAGACAACTTTTGGTTTTGTAGTCTCCATTCTTTGTTATTGTTGCTTTCTACTTCACTAGCCTTGTTCTCTTTTTTATTTCCTTCTTTTCTATTTCCTTTGGGGTTTTTTCTATTGTTCTTTTTCTAATTTCTTGACCTGCATGCTTACACAGTTAATCTTTCTTCTTTTTTACAAATGCATTTAAAACTGTACATCTTTCTCTCTAAGTACCACTTGAACTGCATCCCACACATTGATAGGTAGTATTTTCACTGTCATTCAGTTCTAAATATTTTGTCAGTTCTTCTGTGATTTCCTCTTTAGTCCATGAGTTATTTAAGGGTCGCCTTTTTTTTAACTTTCTAAATGTATGATCTCTTCCTTCAGTAATTGTTGATTTCTCACTTAATTCTCCCAAGTTCAGAGAACATAATCTGTATGCTAATTATTTTAGATCTGTTAACTTACTACACAGACTTTTTTCATGTACCATGTGGGCTTAAAAACAATGTATTTTTGTTTTGTTTTGTGAGTTCAGGAATGTATGTTACAAGATCAGATTTGTTAACTGTATTGTTCAAATCTTCTACGTATTTATAATCGTCTGCTTCTTCAATCGGTGTCTGAAAGATGTTGCTAAAATCTCCCACTATAACTGAGGATTTGTCTATTATATTCCTATCTGTTTTGGTCTGTCTGAATTCAAGACTGTATTACTAAGTACAACTTCATGACTGTTAGATCTTCTGGGGGGACTGTTCTCTTTATTGTCCCGTGGGCTGAGCCCTCTGTGCGTCTAGGAAAGGGCATTTTTCTCTGCCCAGGTAATGAACAGATTCAGAAACAAAAATATTAAGAGTAAGGTGGTTAGAAGGCAAAATAACTCCTTTGTTACTGATAAAGGCCACCCAGTTTAGTGTAAAGATGAAATGGGTCTTCTAACTAAACCCCAGGATTGTCCTCCAGGTAACAGGTGCTGCTGGGCAAGAGGCAAGCCTCCTCTGGAGGGATCAGCTCCAGTGGGACCTCCAGCACGGGGAAGCAGAGGGCACACCCTGAGGGCTGCCAGCTCCCACAGGGAAAACGGAAAGACCACACACACACACAAGGGGATATTATTCAGCCATAAAAAGAATGAAATTTTGCCATTTACAACGACATGGATGGAGCTAGAGAATATAATGCTAAGTGAAATAAGTCAAAGAAAGACAAATACCATATGATTTCACTCATATGTGGAATTCAAGAAACAAAACAATTGAGCAAAGGGAAAAAGAGAGAGAGAGAGAGAGAGAGACAAACCAAGAAACAGCCACTTAACTCTAGAGAACAAACTGATGGTGACCGGAGGGGAGGTGGGTGGGGGGAATGGGGGAAATAGGTGATGGAGACTAAGGAGGGCACTTGTTGTGATGATCACAGGATGATGTACACCTGAAACTAATATAACACTGTATGTTAACAATACTGGAATTAAAACAAACTTAATTTTTAAAAACAATGGTAAAGAGGAAAATAAAAGAACAAAGCTGTATTTTTAGTTCAATTTCAGTCTGCTAGTCTGCTATACTCATATGGTAACTTAATCTATTTATATTTATTGTGATTACTAATGTATTCAGAATTATTTCTATTATTTTGTGTTTTCTATTACTCTGCATTTTCTTTCCTTTTTAAAACTCCTCCTTTCCTGCCCTCAGTTTAATTAAAAAAAAAATTCTCTTTATCCCTCTGCTAGTTTGAGCTATGGATTGTATGTCTATAACTTCCAATCACATATTAATACATTTTTCCAACAAACTCTAAACTCGCTTGCTGTGTCTCTTCTGAGGAGAGAAGAGGAAACAGTAACTTAGGAAACTCTTCCCTCCCCATTGTCCTTCCTACTTCTGTTGGGTTCAAGCCTCTTTTTATTTATTTTTAATTTTTTAATTTAAATGCAATTAATTAACATATAATGTATTATTGGTTTCAGAGGTACAGGCCTGTGACATCAGTCTTATATAACACCCAGTGCTCATTACAATACATACCCTCCCCAATGTCCATCACCCAGTGACCCAATCCCCCCACCCCTCTCCCCTTTGGCAACCTTCAGCTTGTTTCCTATGATTAAGAGTCTCTTATGGTTTGTCTCCCTCTCTGGTTTCATCTTGTTTCATCTTTCCCTCCCTTCCCCTATGATCCTCTGCCTTGTTTCTTAAATTCCACATATGAGTGAGATCATATGATAATTGTCTTTCTCTGATTGACTTATTTCGCTTAGCATAATATTCTCTAGTTCCATCCATGTCGCTGCAAATCAAGCCTCTTTTTATTATTTTTTTTTAAAGATTTTATTCATTCATTTGACACAGAGAGACACAGTGAGAGAGGGAACACAAGCAGGGGGAGTGGGAGAGGGAGGAGCAGACTCCCCACTGAGCAGGGAGCCCGATGTGGGGCTCAATCCCAGGACCCAGGGATCATGACCTGAGCCGAAGGCAGACCCTTAATGACTGAGCCACCCAGGCGCCCCAAGCCTCTTTTTAAAACACACAAAAATTACTTCCTTTTACCCCATCAGTAATTAAATTTATCAACATAGTTTACCTATTTCTTGCCACTTTTATTTTAAGATTTATTTATTTTGGGAGAGAGAGAGAGAGCACTCACACACATGAGCAGAAGAAGCAGAGGGAGAGAGGATCCCAAGCAGACTCCTCAATGAGCGCAGAGCCCAATGCGGGACTCGATCCCATGACCCTGACCTGAGCCAAAACCAATAGTCAGACACTCAGCCAACTGCGCCACCCAGGCACCCTTGCCACTTTTTAATTGCATCTTTTCTTTTGGTTTCTCTTTTTTTTTAAAGATTTTATTTAATTGACAGAGAGAGAGAGAGACAGCGAGAGAGAGAACACAAGCAGGGGGAGGGGGAGAGGGAGAGGGAGAAGCAGGCTTCCGGCCAAAGCAGGGAGCCCGATGCGGGGCTTGATCCCAGGACCCTGGAATCATGACCTGAGCCGAAGGCAGTCGCTTAACCAACTAAGTCACCCAGGCGCCCCTGGTTTCTCTTTTCTTCTGGCTGAAGTACATCCTTTAGTAATTCAGGGAGAGTCTGTGAGTGGTACACTCCATTTTTTTGTCTGAAAACAGTTTTATTTTGTCTTTGCCAATAGCTTCTCTGGGTATAGAATTTTAGGTTAAAGGATTCTTTCTTTCCTTCGTTCCTTTCTTTCTTTCCTCCAACATTTTAAAGATACTGTCCTGTTGTCCTGTGGCTGATAAGAAGTCTAATCTCAGCCCGGTTGTCATTACTTCATAGATGAGTGACTTTATCCTTAGGAAGCTTTAAAATGTTCTCTTTCCCTTTGATGTTCTAATGCTTCACTTTGATGTGTCCCTTAGTATTGCTTTGTTTTATAATCATGTTCAGCACCCCAGTGCGTGCTTTCTTCCATTCTGAAATATTCTCAGCCATTATTTCTTTGGATATCTCTTCTCCACTGGCTTCTCTCCTCTTTCTTCTGAGACTCTAAGACAAATGCTG